CTCTGGCGGACTTGGTTCTATGGTAGGTCTTAAAGGGTTAATCTATTTACTTATAGTATTTGCTTATTAACAACTAAATGTATAGTTTTCATTCAAATAACACAACACAACACAGACTCATGGTGGGCTGATTGCATTTATGGCCATGCGTAGTCACCCACTCGAGGCCCGTTCTGAGCCAGGAGAAACCTTGTCCGTGTGCATGTTTTAGGCTCAGCTGGTCCTCTGTGATTATCATGTCACCAACTGCTCTGAAGGAGAAAACCACCAGACCCATTCTTTGTATGCAGCTTCCTCTATTGTCCTTTAATCGCAGGTTGTAAATCTCTTTCTGGGCATTTGTGTTGGTGAGAAGCTCCTTACCGCCACATGCTCCTTTTGTTACTGTATACGCATGAGCACTCGCCCAGCCTTCTCCAGCTTATTGGGTGGCTGCTTACCATTTCAGTGATGCAAAGAAAGACAGGTATTGTAAACCACTTAATAAGTTGAAATGACAGAGGCGGAGTACACTTGGGATGAAGGAGGGAGGCTAGCTCAGCTGAACAGTCTCGCCTGGCAGCAACGTGGTGAGATGATAGTTGGCAACTGTCCTGCCTGTCGATGTGTGGAGTGTGTCAGAGAGCGGGGGACTGAATGGAGAGAGTGAAACGAAGGGGGTGGGTGTGGGTGTGGGTGTGTGTCCGTCTGCTCAGCTGTGTTGAAAGCCTGCCAGTGTCTGGTCGTCTCAGCTGGGTCTTTTTTATCTGGTCTATTGGAGCGGTGTCAACAGCCTGAGGGGGATACAGCCTGGCCTGGCATGGCAGAGTCTGGTCTGGTCTCCCAGCAGCTCTCTGGATGAGAGAGCAGCAGCAAGTTAATCAGTGTATAATGCAAGGCACTAACAAGGATTTTATTCCCTCCAGCGGCACACATCTTAATGTATGCACTCAGACTTCTTGAGCGTGAGCGCTATTTTGGTTTGGATGTCGTTGGATAAACCCTTCAGTCAAACTTTGAAACTTACGACAGTCATGGCTGCTGTGCTGATTTGGTTTGTTGTGCTCTCTGTTTTAGGCTCTGCTGACAGCTGTTTGGTTTATCTAGCCCATTCAAGTAGATTAAGTTGTGAATGCACTAGAGCTCCAACGATTCGAGTAATCCAAAAATAAAAAATTCTCGACAAACATTCTTTGCTTCGATGCTTCGTTTAACACGTGGCTCTGTGTTATTTCACACACATTTGCGACTGAAAACAGACCTGCAATAGAAATGTATTTATGACAACATTAAGCCCACGCAGCCCCCAATTTTAAACAAAAACCAATAACACAACAGCAACAGTGATGATGACACTGGCACAGTTTAATGTGGAACTGTTTACACACCGCGAAGATGTACTCACCATTAAAACATTTAATGGGAGGGGGGGGGGGCATGTGGTGTACTAGACCAGATTAATTTAAAAGCTTTGGGAACATTTTTCAGATTAAAAGTGAAGTAATCAAAGATATTGTGTTCATTAAATTGTAATAATATGTAAAAACATAAAAATAAAAGTATTTTTCACAAGCCAATAAAAATGGACATGGACCAGTAAAGCTCTGGACGCTGAATTATTATTAATATTAATTAACATCTAAACCATTATGCATCTGTTTTCAGCTGCACAGAAACTTTGCGTCAGAGCGCTGGACAAACTTCAGAATGCTGATGTGCTCGCTTTTCTTCATTGCAGCCACCACATTCTCCTTTGAAGGCTTATAGACGCAAACTCACTTTTCGCTTGACTTCTTCACACTTGGACACACATGCACAAAAACCCATAAACATGGACACAACAAATCTGCCTCATCCAGGATATAAAACTCTGCCAGAGAGAACTTGAGTGTTTATATATTTTTGCATTCAAGACAATGTTTTCTTTAAAAAATAAAATTTAATATGGCATGTAAATACAATCAAAGGGTTTTTTGTTGTTTTTTTTGTTTTGTTTTTTTGACAGATGTTATATGCAGTTAAACTTACAACATTGCAATTTCTAATATGGAAACCACTTTATCTCTTATCCAATTACTCGATTAATCGGACGACTAATCAATAGATTATTCGATTACTAAAATAATTGATAGCTGCAGCCCACAATTAGACCAGTAGTTGTTTGAACTTTGCTGCCTGCTTCATTGTGCACCAGAAGAACATGTTTACTAAATCCCTTATTTGTATTTTATAACTATACAATGATGGTTGCAGTTGATTTGATTCCAAACATTTGTGCCCATTGAAGTTGCTTAATGTCATTAACATTTCGATTGCTGTAACCAGAATGTTTTCCTGTTTGGATGTCTTTTAAGATGTTACACAGACAGTAAATGGCAGCAACTCTGTCTCTGTGATGGGAAGTTGTAAACAAGGAATGTGAGACAATCTTAAAAACCACAGAGCAATCTCTGGAGCGTAAAATAATGGCAGTATGGAAGTGTCAAAAACTGCAGTTTCTCTTGTAACCATTTGCGACTGGCTCCAAAAGCAAGGTATCCCCCTTAGACTCCTATGTTAAAATGCACAATATTACAGCATTAAAAAAGTGTATTTACAGTCTGGTACAAGCTAAGTTTTGGCATTTATGAAGGATTTTCTTCCTCCTAACGGCTCTGAGTCAGCTGAACTTTTTGTACACTTCAAATGCTTGGATAGTGGAGTTGGCTGCATTGTTGGATGGTTGTCCCAAATAGGAAGCTGGTGCTATCACTAGCGCTTGGAGAATTTTTAATGGTTCATCTGATTAAAGTTATGGCTTGTTGTATGATATATGGTACATTTAGGCTTGAAAAACAAATATGCCGTATCACATCAAAAGTTGAGACTGTAGAGTCCAAAACCAATAGGTGGTGTCAGAGCGGCAGTGTCCATCTTTTATACTGTCTGTGCTTAAAAACCTGTGCAAACTTGGAAGAGGAATGACTGTTTGCGGAGTTAAAGTGGCACGTAACCACCTTCTCCAAGGGTGTATGGATGTTAACCTGCAGGTGAAATATGTTGGCATTAACACAAGCTGCTTTTAGTTGTTGAGGGAAATTAGTTGACAGGAACACCTCCAGTTTAAATAACAGGTGCACAACCTCCACCCACATATGTGATAAGAGTCGCATATGTAAGACTGCGAAACTGGGTCATAATCTCTTAAGATAAATTGTGTTCCTGACAATTTGTGCAGATTTGTTATTATACAAGCTTTTCTTAATAAAACTTAGTAACAATTTCTCCTACAACCCAAAAGGATCTTGAGAACACAATTTATGATTAACTACCTGTTGAAATGGCTAATTAAAGAAAAAAGCCAGAGTAGAAGAGCATTTTTCTGGTGACTCATGTTAATTGCTGCATTGTTAGTAAAGTTTTCAGTTGTGCCATGTCTACTAACTAGCTTAAGTAAAGAAGGGAGCAGGAGGAAAAATGACTCAGTAGTCAAGAAGTCTTTCCTGGCAATAGCTTGTGTCATGCTGAGTTGACAGGATGCCAGAGCATCACTGTGCTGCTTAGAACAGGACCAGGCACAATTATCCTGGCACAGCTACGCAAGTGCTTGTCTTGGCAGAGGGGGTCTTGTAATGACAAATTGGCATTGAAATTGAGGCAGAACCTTTTTTTTTTTTGGCATGTTAAGGCTGTAAATGAGGAACTAACATAATCCCTCAGGTAAACATTTAACCACATTAAATCAAATGTTTTAAACTTGTGAATGCTTTAATCAATCTGAGTCTGTTCCTTCAGGATTCTGGACTATAAGCAGTTTTGTTTTGGGGTTTTTCCCCCCCCCCGCAGCTAACAACACTGCTCAATTACTGTGCTGACTTATTGGTCATTTGTCCGTATTTTCAGATGGGCCTGGGTAGTAATGGTCCGTTCGGGGCGCAGTCCTATGGTCAGGGAGCTACAGGACCTGGCCAGCAGCTAAACCCTCAGCAGCAGCTCCAGAACAAGTCTGCCCTTGCCAACAGCCTGCCACCCTTCCCTAATGAGCTCAAAGGAGCTGCTGTTACTAGCGTGCCAAACATGGTCAGTACTTTTTAGACATAATCAGATATTACTGTACACAAAACATTTATTTTTCTTGTTTTTCTTTATAAATACCATTTACAAATAAATTATCTCCTTTTTGGCACCATTTCTGAGTCACACTGTTGAATTGCTGATAACTTATCACAACTTTGACATTTATCTGCCTGTTTCGTCCGTGCAGCAGCTCCAGCAGCAGCCGCCTCAGCAGCAGGCAGCAATGCTCCCGCTGGCTGGCGGCGGAGGTGTGGCAGTGCCTTCGGCAGGCCCCACGGCCGACCCTGAGAAGCGCAAGCTGATCCAGCAGCAGCTGGTCCTGCTGCTCCACGCACATAAATGCCAGCGACGAGAACAGGCTAATGGGGAAGTGAGGGCCTGCGCCCTGCCTCACTGCCGCACTATGAAGAACGTCCTTAATCACATGACGCACTGCCAGGCTGGCAAATCCTGCCAGGGTGAGTAGAAGCATTTGAAATGAAGTGAAGGAAATGAACGATAATTTCCAGATGGACAGTTCATGGAAGTCGACCCCTTTTTACACTGATTGAGACATTAAAGGGTCAGAACACAAATAGCTTAGCTCTTAGTAAACACCTGCAGCTTTTTATTCAAGCTGCTTTTAGCAAAAATTTTTTTATTTTATTTGTTTATTTTGCATTTTTTAAGGCCTCTACTGCCCTTAACAACAAAAAACATGGTCTATTTTATCTATAACTGTGTCTATTTAGTATTAACTTTTTTTTACCCCTCCTACCCATAAGAGTAGTAAAACAAATGACAAAACAACATACAAGCTAGAAATTAAAACATCATAACATCACTTTTTTAAGCCACAGGAATTTGAGCTACATAGACTGGACTTTCCCCAGAGAAAGAATCTGCACTGGGTGAGATTTCTTTGCTAAGATCCAATATTGGTAACTGAATCTAAGGTTTATTTAATTCAGGTTGCGTTGTGTTGACAGCTGAATTTGCAGATTCAGTTGCTGTGTTACCATTTCTGAAGGAAAAATAGTTTCTTGAATAGATTGGACAGATCACCGTGCTTTCTCTTATCCTTATCAGGGTCGCAGGGAGGGCTGGAGCCTATTCCAGCTGTCATAGGGCGAGAGACAGGGTACAGCCTGGGCGGGTCGCCAATTTGTCACAGGGCTAACGCATAGAGACAGATGATTCACACTCACATTCACACATATGGGCAATTTAGAATCATTAATTAACCTAACCTCACAAATTGCATGTCTTTGGACTGTGGGAGGAAGCCAGAGTACCCGGGGAGAACACACAAACACAGTGATAATTCTCCTTATTTTACACACAAACCTGATCAGTAACTGCCTCAAGAAGAAAACTGCTGACATTTGAGCATGCATTTGGGATAACGTTTTTTTTTTTTTAGCAGCAGCTTTCTTTTCATTTATTCTCGTATTGTGGCCATCTGTGTTGCTATTTTTGGTAGAAGTATGCCTTTCTGTCATCATCCTGAAACAGCGATTAGATTCATGGAATAAATTTAAAATTGGATTTCATTCACAAACATTTTCAGATGTATAAATCTCCATGTAGGAGCCCCTTTGGTAGGAACTGCTTCTTTGAACATCCTTCTTGGCCAAGTTTCCACAAGCTCTGTGCACCTTGATCTTGGCAGTTAAACTAAGAACACTCACAGAATTGTCCCAAAGCTACTCCAGCTGCATCTTGGCAGTATGCTTTGGGTTATTGTTGTGCTGAAAGGTGAATGGAACAGTAGAAGTGGGTTTTTGGTTACCAAAGCCGTTCTTGTTTTGTCCAAATTTAGAAATTCAGAAATTCCTGCCTTCATGCATCTCATGGTTTCTGAAGCTAGTGTGCTTCTAGAGACACCCAAAGGTTTTATGGTTCATGCCTCTCCATCATTTTTAAAGAGAGACACTGAACTTGATGTTTTGATTTTTGTCCTCTCTATTTGTTGGATCCATCCATCCATCCATTCGCTTCCGCTTATCCTTTTCAGGGTCGCGGGGGGCGCTGGAGCCTATCCCAGCTGTCATAGAGCGAGAGGCGGGGTACACCCTGGACAGGTCGCCAGTCTGTCGCAGGGCCAACACACAGTCACTCGCACATTCACACCTAGTGACAATTTGGAATATCCAATTAACCTATCCCCACAAGGCAGCACGGTGGCATGGTGGTTAGCACTGTTGCAGCACAGCAACAAGGTCCTGAGTTCAATTCCAACATCAGGCCGGGGTCTTTCTGTATGGAGTTTGCATGTTCTCCCCGTGTTTGCGTGGGTTCCCTCCGGGTACTCCGGCTTCCTCCCACTGTCCAAAGACATGCACCTTGTGGGGTTATTTGTTGGATCATGAACATAAAATTGAGCTTCTCAACCCTGTCCCCCTTTGCCTCAGGTACTTTAGAATTTTAAAAATTCTACAATCGCCTACAGGTTAGGTTCTTTTCCTCTTTGTTCTGTGTATGTTTGAAATGTATATTTTGTGATTAGGTTATTTGAGGTAAACTAATGGACGTGTCAGCTTTATCAATTTAGCAAATTTGCAACACAGGGGAACAAACAGTAACAACATCTCCTAACTCAATATATCTTCATAAGTATTTTCATACATCTCTATTGTGTGGTTTGTTTGTTTTTTGTTATTCATAGATGATATATTAGTTTTTAAGTCCAATTTATGTCCATTTTTAATCATATGCAAGTTTGATTGTTGCTGCAGGTCTATTTATCTTAACCAGACTTTGCACAAGGGAAACTCCCACACGTATCGTTGTTTGTGACCAAGTCTGCTCCTGCTCCTTCCAAAAGTTGATTTCACTCTGTTGGTGAATTTTTCCTTGTTTGTTTCTGTCTGCTCCTTTCTGTGTCGGCCCCAGCATTCCTACCATGAAAAATTCCCCCAAAGCTACTCTCATTTAAATTTGGCTCTGCGCCCTTTGCACAGCTTTTGGGCTTGAATGCTCAAGTTCAGTTGCAAGCCAAACACTCAAGGGGCCAAGGTGTGTTAAGTGTAAAGGAGTCTGTGTCTGCTCTCTCCATACCAGCTCATTTCCTTTTGGTTTGGATCCTTGCCTCTCAGCACCACTGAAATAACTGTGTAGTGAGATTTTGTTCCCCGACACACAGTTATCACTAACGTTATAGATTTATCTGAAGTCTGTTGGCTCCATTTATTCTCGAGTGAGAAACCCCAGAGTCTATAGTGTGAGCAGTTCGAGTCGTGCTTGGATTGGCAGTGGACTTAAATATGAGAGCCTTTCTTTGCATACTGAATTTATAAAAAGATACCAGTATGATAGCAGTACTTTGAGTCTTCGCCAGCTCTTTTGGCTTTCTTACAAAAATAATAAAACATAATTATGTTAATTTCTGCCTAGCCCTTGAATCCATGTAGCAGTTTAATGTGGACCAGCATTTACTTAGTGCCAAGGAGCAAGCAAGCGCCAGGTTGTGATTTCTTGTCAGATTAGCTCCTACTACATTAGCCTGGCCAGAGATGAAATGAAGTACCCCGGTTTGTTCAGTTTCCCATTAGCAAATGCAGTGTAGGTCCCCTCTCCACTAGGCTCAACCAGCAGCCTTTCAAGAGGGAAAATTACTGCAGTGGGCTGAAATGGTGAGCTAACTTCTTGGACTGTTCTCGAGTGTCTCTCATTTACTGTGTCAGTATGTTGTGATTTTCTTCTTTTTTCTCAGAGGACAAGTAAACAAGAGTGTAAACAAGTTTTTGTGTGTTAGTGTTCTGTGTAGAATTTTCTTATGACCAGTTGTTATGCAATTTGAGGAAGAAAAAAAACTTTCCCAAAAGAGGCAAGCTTGAGGTTAGATGTGCAATTAGCCAGTACATTACAGAACCCAGTAACAACTGTGAATCATATGTTAAATCAATGATCCATCAAGAACGTCCGGTCTGAATTGTTCAACCTGGGTCTTTTGAAGTGATGTAATCTACCACAAGTGCCTTGTCTGTGATAGATGTTATTCAGATGAAGTAAAAACTGCAGCTGGGGATTCTTGGTAAACATAAAAAAGGAGGAGGAAAGAAGCGATGTTGGTTACAGGTTGACTAGTGTGGAATAAAATGAAATTTAATTTAATGTCGTCTTACTGGAATAAATGCAACAACCATAATGAGTTCAAGTTAGTCAGGTTGGATGTGACCAAATATGACAGATGGTATCACAGTTTTCAACCTTGTTCCTCTCTCGTCTTCTCTTCTTGCAGTGGCTCACTGTGCGTCGTCCAGACAGATCATCTCCCACTGGAAAAATTGCACTCGACACGACTGTCCCGTCTGCCTGCCGCTGAAGAATGCCAGCGACAAGCGCACCCAACAGCGTAAGTAGCTAAGTAGCGATCTCTGGCCCACCATCGCCTAAGCATTGTCAGGACATTTTATATCTGCAGAAATCAAAAACTAGGCTGAAATTGTTTTCAGAGATTGTTTTTGGTAAGCAAGATATTGAAACCTGGTGAGCTTTCTGTCAACGGCCTCAATTTGTATCTCAGTCATTACAGGATTGGTATATTGAGCTGTAATGGTCACAGTAGTAGTTTTTAGAAAGGCTCGCTTTCGAAAGTCAGGAATGTGTGTGTTGGAATTATGTATATCTTGGCATTCAGAGTCAGTCAGGCTATTTATTTCTAGGCCTTTGCTTCTCTGTGATGACTAAAAGCACTCTGCGAATAAGAGTGTGGTCCTGCTGGGCTTGTAATCTGACACACAGGAGGTATAGCAGTGTGATCGAGGGTGAGAGAGGATGCAGAGAGCGTGTGCTCATGGAGTCCGACAGAGCAATTGGCTGTTGGGTTATTTACTTCTTCTCTCTACCAGAACAGAGCTGAGTTTGATGCTCTTTCCAACACATACTGGAAGCTTCTGTTGTTCCTGTTTAGTGTTGATTCTCTCATGTACCTGCTATCATCTGGCTGGTTTGCTGTATTTTAGGTCCTATCATCTCATTCTTCTGCCTAGATTACTTGGATTTATTTTATTTTCTTTTGGCACCTCATATTTCAACACTTAAAGCATTTTAGTCTTAGTCTTCCCCAGTTTGGCTTAAATGTTAAAAAACATGATGTTGGGGCTTGTGCTCCTGCCAATGCAGACGGTGTAGTTTTTCTTTGTTCTGCCTCATTTGATTTGAGTCTATGCGCATACTAAGAGATTTGGTCTTTTAGCCCAACCAACACCTGAACTCGGAAAAATATGTGAACACTCTTCCCCTTAAAGGGATTTATAGATTTATTCAGTCCCTGGCTTTATAAAGCATTTAGCCTTACACTAATGTTCTGATTGTATCATGCTGCCGTGTATCATGCTGCGTTAATCTTGCTCGAAGTCAAAGCATGCAGATGTATGTGTGTTTTTGTTTTTATCTGTTGAAGTATTCTTTTTAAAATGATGACTGCATTTGAATTATTTCTATATTAAAAAAAAATGGCTAGTAGAATTCACATGTGCATTTTGTGTACAGACTTAACTTGTTGCAGTATTAGTGTAGAGACAGTTTGCAGGTTGTTACCAATATAAAACAATATGATGTCATGTGGATGTTGTGGGCTGACTTTTTGATATCCCTCCCCAGCCATGCTAAGCTCCCCGAATACAGGCCTCCAGAACTCCATGTCCTCTGTAGGCGTGGGCCAGCCTAGTACTCCCACCATTAGTACCTCAGCCCCCATAGACCCCAGCTCAATGCAGAGAGCTTATGCGGCACTTGGGCTGCCCTACAGCAGTCAGGCCACTGGACAGGCTCCAACCCAGCAGGCTCCAGGCGCAGGACAGACAGCAGGTGCACCGAACACCCAGGCTCAACAACAACTTCCACAGCAGATGAGACCCATCAGTGCACTTGGTAAATTAATTTTTTATGCTTAAAAATGACAGTTCATACCCATATTTTATTCACTGAGTTTGATTTTTAAATCAAGGGAGTGCCGTTTGCTCACTGTATTCTGTATTCACAGGTAACCAGATGGCTCTTGGAAATGCAGCAATGGGTGTGCCCACTTCAGAACAGACAAACCTGCACACAGACTCCCTTCCCAACACACTCAACACTAACAAGTCAGTCTCTGTCAAGTATAATAAGAATAATTACATTCATTTATTAAAAATACTTGTTGGCCTGTTTGTTTGGGTTTTTTTTTTTTAAGGTTTCTTTTTAAATTATATATTTTTAAATTGAGTAACCACAGGAATAGATATCCATGGATGTGGGATTTCTAAATTTTCTTCATTTGCACCTGCAGTCAGCTGCTGTCAGATGGGTCAGCTGTGGGCTCAATGAGCAGCCTACCCACAGCAGCACCTGTCTCTGCCACAGGCTCCAGGAAAGCCTGGCATGAGCACGTCACTCAGGACTTGCGCAATCACCTCGTACACAAACTGTAAGTGTATACCTCAGCTGAAGAGATCTTACCTGTTAGTCACCTTTTGATTTTTTTTTGAAAGGCTGGATATTTAAGGCAATGGTTTGAAATTAAGTAGAAGTTATCAGAAGTTCTATTTGCTTATCTTGTGCTTTCCTGCAACAGAGTACAAGCCATATTCCCTACCCCTGATCCGGCAGCTTTGAAGGACAGACGAATGGAGAACTTAGTGGCCTACGCCAGAAAGGTGGAAGGTGATATGTATGAGTCAGCTAACAGCCGGGTAAGTATCCTGAAAAACCGCATCAGGTTGTTGAATTGACTGACTTGAATTGCTCAACATGACACATTCAACATCAAACACTTTTCAAAGGCTTTTACCATAGTTCAAAATTTCACAGAACATGCCTTTTCCCCTCAATGTTTCATATTGCCTTTCTTCATCCCTCCAACTTTCTTCCTTTTAGGACGAGTACTATCACTTTTTGGCTGAGAAAATATACAAAATCCAAAAAGAGTTGGAGGAGAAGAGGCGCTCAAGGCTTCAGAAACAGATCATCAACCAGGCACCTATGGCTGCCCAGGGAACCCAGCAACCAGTCCTAGCCCAGCCCAATGCCTTGGGCCCACGACCACAGAGTAAGTGTAAGATTATATGAACGTGTTTTGGGTAAAATCACATTGTTTTCAAATTGATTTAATTACCCAGTTATGGTTATATAAAAATACCAGTGGTTTACCTGTACAGCCCTCTCAATTTGAAAGGCTTATGGCAGAATTATAAATTGTACTTTTAGTCATGTTTGTATGCCCAGAGGCTTTATCCATATTGCCCTATTATTAGGGCTGTTCGATATAACGATATATATCGGATGACGATATAAAAACGTCTATCGTTTCATTTTACTCTATCGTTTGTTTCGTGGTGTTGCAAAATAAACTGTTTACAGCAATATTTTTTTCATCGTTTTGATGGTCACTGTAGTGGCTATATTAATTTCTTAAAGTTCTCTCTTTCTCTTATATTTAATATAACCACACTACGGACGGACAAGCACCTGTTTTTATGCATTGTCGTTAGCAACAACGACGGTAAAACCACCGTGTGTCCGCTTGTTTATTTTCCACAAACCTTTCACAATAAAGCTCAATAAAGCTCAATAAAGCTCATCCTGTTGAGACTTTAGTAAACTGAATTGCGTGAAAGAGTATGCAGAGTATTTAAGGATGAGAAGCCAAAAAGAGCCGTCAGGTGCTAAAAAACAAACAAACCTTAGACTCAAACGTTAGAACAGGCTTTTCCCCGCAGCACACCATGTAATAAATACTCCCAAAGAAAACGGCGGCCGTTACAACTTATGTCTAAAAATGTGTAGTTTCATGCATCGGTAAAATACTCGACTCCAGCTACACGACGCTCAGCTGGAAACACTTCAGCTGCCCGAGATTCACAGAATTTACAGAAAATGTTAATTTTTGTGATTTATATCGTTATCGGACGATAGATGTTTTATATCGGGATATGAGATTTTGGTCATATCGCACAGCCCTACCTATTATATATGTGCCTTAACAGGTCTAATCACTTTCAAAAGGTCGTTTCCCTCCCAGTCTAAAATTGAAAATGGATATATGAGCTGAGCTCAGTGAGCAGCCTATCAACAGCAGCATCTGTCTCTGATGTTGCAATGTATTTATTTTTAATTGTTATTGTTGTTTTCTTTTAACTGTACAAGTTTGTTTTGTTTTTGCAGATGGACCTATTCCTCTTCCCAACATGCCAAATCAGATCATGAGTCGCATGCAGGCTTCACAAGGTACATTTTTAATAATACATATGGGAGTTTCAGAGTGCACAAAAAGTGAAATAAAACAACTGGTAGAATAGACAGGATAGCCAGACATGCTTATTAACACTGCATAAAATGTATGGTACAGGAAATAATGAGCTGCATACAAGAGAGGCAAGAAGAAGAATGGGGAAGTTACAATTGAACTTAATCAGGAAAACATTTCTCTCTACCAGCTTGACTTTGGGTCATATTTCTTTATTCCCATTTGTTGTGCCAATTTCTAAAGTGTCTGATTTACTCCTCTGTACAGGAATCAACCAGTTTAACCACATGACTCTACCCAATGCCCAGATGTCTCAAGCAACAATGGGACCCCGTGCTGCCTCACCCATGAATCACCCTCAACAGATGAACATAAACTCAGTCCCAGCGGTAAGGGGGCAGACCGCGGGCCACAAAAATCACACCCACACATGGGGCAGGCGTGTAACATGAGCTGGCACCCAGTTACACGCTCTCAAGGAATGCATAAGCTAACTTAGGTGTACAAATAAGATTACTGCACCTAGTAATATCTTCTTTCCTGCCTTGTAGATGGGAATGTCTCCCTCTAGGATGCCCCAGGCCCAGGGCATGATGACTGGACACAGTGGAGGAAACATGGTGGGTCAGACTGCCAACCAGGGTCAGTTTTTGCCTCAGAACCAGTTTCCTCCAGGATCTGCTCCAGCTGCTGCAACGGGTGCGATGAATGTCACAGTGGTGCCAGGCATGGGTCAGCCACAGGCACAGGCTGCTGTCACTCAGGTGAGACACGAATGAGGTGGCGCTGTAGTTACCTGAGCCGCATAATGGTTTTGGATTGGCTGATTTTGGTACAGTTGTTCAGAGTTCGCCTAATTGCAACTAGTTGCTGAAGAACTAAACTCAAATTACTTCACCATTCATACAACACACTAATTACTCTTAAATTGTTTTTACCAATCACAAGGTGCTTTCTAAACCCCAAATTGTGTGCTATGTTGTGTTTGTCTGTTTGACCTTATGACTGTATGTTTGTCTGCTTGTTGTGTGTGTGTGTGTGTCTGCCTGCTCTTTGTGTGTCCTTCTCTCCAGCAGCAGCAACAGCAGCAGAGTGCTAACATCCCCATGAATGCACTTGGCCCCTCGCTGGGCCCACAGCTAGCCTCTTCCCAAACCCCCTTGCACTCCACGCCTCCGCCTGCTGCCTCCTCTGCCTCTACGGCTGGGGGGGCCAC